CGGGGGGGGGGGCCGGGCTGGGCGCCGGCGCCAGCCGCAGAAGTGGTTGGTGGAGCAAGCGGGCAGGGCGGGCTGCGAGCCCAAGGCCGGCAACAACATCGAGATCGTCAGCACCTCGCAGACAGCCAAAGTCATCGTCTCTGTCAAGGACGCCGTGCCCACCATCTTCTGCGGCAAGATCAAGGGCCTGTCGGGGGTCTCCACCAAAAACTTTTCCTTCAAAAGGGACCTGCCCCAGGACTCGGTGCTGCAGTGCTACGACGTGAAGAGCCCGCCCGAGCCCCGGGACAGCGCCGAGGCCCTCAGGAAACCCGTCAAAAACAGGAAGGTAAAGCTAAAGAAAATGAACTCGCCGGAGATACATATTCTTCCAATCAAGAAGCAACGGCTCGCTGCCTTTTTTCCAAGAAAGTAAATTATGGGTTTTTAGAATTTTAAGATTATTATGAGAAGAAGAAGAAAAAAAAAATAATAAAAAAGATGCACTTGGTTTTAAACTCATTTAAAACTTTAAACTATCTTTGTAAGTTATTTTTGGGGGAAGGGGGAGAGGAGCGGATGTAGAGTCCCTATAAGCTGGGTTGGGTTGGTTTTTTTTTTTCCCTTTTCATTTTTTTGTTATCGAATTTTGACTTTTCATGGGAAACTGAATAAAAAGCAACCTATTTTTCAAGCAGATTGCACATTTTGCAGCTTTAATGGAGTAATGGATGAGTCAGAGGGGTAAGAGCTATTTTCACTGCCATAAAGTGCTTTGATGATGTAATTCTTCATAACGGTTGGAATGGAAATTTCAAAATAAATGTTTGTACGTGCTAATTGGTTGCAGCATTTTTGGTCATTTCTGAATCGCTTTCAGTGTACGGAGAAGGTTTGGCAAAAAGTCTGTAAACTGTAAAGCGCCACAACTGACTTGTGATGAGCCTAGTGATGTTAAGAAAAAATAACAGGCTAAGAAAAATTATACTGCCCCACAGAACTGTCGGAGTGCATGTCACAACAGCCACTAACGATGTGCCCAAACGAGCTTCTGGAGGAGTGAGAACGAGTGAGCGGTACAGCCCAGTGCGCACCTAACGCCAGCTTCACTGCAAGAGAGCCATAGGAAACCGTCTTAAAATACTAAGTAATATTAGCGGTCATTTAAAAGAGAAAAGCCTAAAAGTCAGGGGAATTTGGTTGCCAGGGGGGCAGGAGGGGAAGGAAAAGTCACATAATTTTTCCCAGCCTGACTACAGATATATGGAAAAGTTGTTTATTGTCAGTTTTCTAAGTTTCTTTGATGGCTGAAATCAATGCACATGAAAGAGCAGAACTGTGTAACTTTATCACTCGGCCATGTACAAGCTGCCCACGTCAATGGAGAAATGTGAATGTACAATTAAAATAAAAGTTCTGGTAGGTTACGGTTTTGCACTTGTGTATGGAAATGAGCTGGAGATGCATTATTCTTTGTTGACATTTAAGTTCACACGGCTCACTTGTAAAAACCCATCCCGACGGAAGGACGAACATGAGAGCAGGAGAACAATTTTCGGTGGGTGCTGCCTTTTCGTGGCTATACCTGTTAACGTAGAAAAACTCTTTTGTTATTATTTCAAATGACACGTTCCCAGCACCACACCAGTACTGTCTAAATAAAAAAAGCCATTGTAAACCCATCAGCTGGATGCCGTCGCACACTAACTGTGCCTTCCTTTACCTAGCTGCAGCCAAGCTACTTCCAAGATGCCTCTTGGACAGTTTCGGGAAGGTTTTTACAGATGTTCATGCAATGAGAAGTTGCACAAAGAAGCGGCTTCCGGGTTAGAAGTCTAATCACACCCTTAGGCACCGGTGTCATGCCGAAATCTGTTGAAACTTTTGATGGCAGCAGACACCAATTCACTATTCAGAAGATGCATCTGCATTAGGAGGTTAGGAAAGGCATGCCGTTTCTCTTTTCCTGGGCTGAAGGATCACTGCCCTCTTGCTTAATATGAAAATGGAGGACTTTCACATAAGCATAGCATCAACTTCTGTCAAACTCTTGCTTTTTAAGTATTTTTAAGGCCTTTTATTTTTCCCAAAGCTGGCAGAACTGACAATGTTCAGAAGAGCGTAAAGTGTTGATGGATTCATTAATGTTCAGTTTTTTTTTTTTTTTTTTTTTTTTTTTTTTTTTTTTTCCACACCAGTACTGTCTAAATAAAAAAAGCCATTGTAAACCCATCAGCTGGATGCCGTCGCACACTAACTGTGCCTTCCTTTACCTAGCTGCAGCCAAGCTACTTCCAAGATGCCTCTTGGACAGTTTCGGGAAGGTTTTTACAGATGTTCATGCAATGAGAAGTTGCACAAAGAAGCGGCTTCCGGGTTAGAAGTCTAATCACACCCTTAGGCACCGGTGTCATGCCGAAATCTGTTGAAACTTTTGATGGCAGCAGACACCAATTCACTATTCAGAAGATGCATCTGCATTAGGAGGTTAGGAAAGGCATGCCGTTTCTCTTTTCCTGGGCTGAAGGATCACTGCCCTCTTGCTTAATATGAAAATGGAGGACTTTCACATAAGCATAGCATCAACTTCTGTCAAACTCTTGCTTTTTAAGTATTTTTAAGGCCTTTTATTTTTCCCAAAGCTGGCAGAACTGACAATGTTCAGAAGAGCGTAAAGTGTTGATGGATTCATTAATGTTCAGTCATCTGACCATTTTGGTTTGTTTTTTTTTTTTTCTTAATTGAAAATACTCTGCTACTTTGTTTTGCTCCTTCCAAGAAGCTGTGCTGATGAAATGTGTCATCTTCTGGCTATTACAGTGCAGAGGCTCGGGATTTCGACATCCCTTGGGACGGCCATCCCAGTTGTCACTGCCCCGCTGTTTCAGCTGGGCCCATTCCAGAGTGTCAAAAGCCTTCTGAAAATGTAGTTTTCCCCAGGGAGGGAGGGCATCCAGCTGATGTGCACCCCTCCTGCTGGCCACGGGGCACCTGCGACAGGCAGAGCAGCACTTGTTGGTGACACTGGCTGCAGGTGCTGCGGTGTTCCCTCCTCTCCTTCGCAGGCCTTTACTGGGAGCTCTTAGTGCTCCCAGGTTAACTTCAATGCCCAGGCTACCTCCCGGCCCACTCTGCACACAGAGGTCTGGTTTAACTGAATTTAGACCACAAGCCCCAGAAACCCCGACAACAAATTAGGCTAAATCAGCTTTATGCCATTATAAACCCATACAAGCACTGTCAAAACACCCGATGCCTACAGGCAACCAATTCAGTTTAAAGCCAACTGGTACCGGTTGTAAAGGCAGACCAGACCAGCAGCTACGCGGCTGCATCTTCCCCCAGACCATTAACAAGAGTAACTGCAACCTCCCCTCTCCGAAACAGGGCTGGGAAAAAACAGAGCAGGCTCCAACTATCCTAGCGTCCCCATCTGCCCCACCAGGACCAGCCCCCCTGTCTTTACAGGGCCGTCTCCAGAAGGGCCAAGCTCCCTGGCGCTGCTGGTCGCCACCAACATCCCCATTGCCCCACGGCGACACAGGCTGGAGCCACCCCACTAGAAATGGATGGGCAGAGCAGACTGGGCTCACCTGCCCCACCGCCTGGCTTTTCCATTTCTTAAACTGCAATGGCAGGGGGGAATATTCTGAACAGCATCTTTCCGGGAAGGCTTAGGGCAGCTCCTGCTTCCTCCCCTGCTACCCTTTCATGCAACCCCAGCCTTCAAGGCTGTGCGACGGGAAGAAGAGCCATGCACCAGCACCTCTCCTCATGCTTAACTCTGTTGGGCAAACGACACTAAGTAGGGACCATTTGCCTCCCACCATCCCTCGTGTGTGAAGCACAAGTCCTACATCCCGTTGGCACAGGGGAGAAGTGGCCACAGAACAAGGTACTTAATTACACCAAGATTAAGCACTTCCAGCTTCTCCTCCTCCTCGCCTCTAGCAGCAATTACACATTTTGTATATTGGGCCATTAATTTTCTACAGGGCTACATTTTAACTGCTTCTGAAACTTCTGTATGAGGAGAAGGACACAGAGCTGCACTCATGATATATGGAGCTTCCATTTCTGGTGGCTGTTAATGGAGACATTAATACCTCTCGTGAAGTTGAAGGGAAAGTCATTAAGCCATAATGGTAGGAGGAAGATGTTTTACAATGATGGGTATATATAAGGTAGAGAGCGAGCAGTGCAGACCCTCAAGGGCATGCCTTGTTGGCTCCAAGCTTCCTTTGACTTGGACTTTGGGTGTGGGCTTTTATTAGGGGGTAGGTGAGACGGGAGAGGGTTGCAGGGGTGGGTTACCTTCCCTTCTGCTCTCTTCCCTCCATCAGGCAGGGGCTTTGCAGGAAGCCAGACACTGAATCCGAGGAGGGGAGCAGGGCTGAATGTCCCAGATGAAGGCCACAGTACATGGCAGCCTCAGGGGTGGGACAGCTCAGATGCACCAACCTGGAGCTTTCCTCCACATGGCGGCTGGGTCCCCTTCCCCTACACTGCCCAAGGCACAGCCCTGGGACAAGGAGTGCACAGCTAAGGCTTCGGCACATGGAGTTAGCTGTTAGCAACAGAAATGAATCCAAAAGGAGAACGAGCAGCTTCTCAGCCAGAGAATTTACCTGGACCGGGTGGTTTTTAGGCTGAGAGTCTTACCTGACACAAGCAGTCAGGTAAGCAGCAGACAATTACGAGCGCAAGGAAAAGGTGGAGAATGGGGAGATGAAAGCAGGCAGTGGAAGCTGAGGCAAGAGCCACCTCCAGGCCTGTTAGCATCGCACCGTTATTGAAGTTAGCAAGCAGCCAGCCAGAGAACGAAAGGGAGAAGCAAAGCTGTGGCCCTTGGCCACGAGCAGATGACAGACAGAGAAAAGGAAGGTGTCAGCTTCCAAGACAAGGCTCCAGGGCCACTCGGCTTAGCGAGAGCAAGAAGAAAGGCGAGCACTGAGCGCTGGGAGGGTAATGCTTTTTTGGGCTGAAGGCAGCTGAGAAGTGAGGGCGGGAGGAGACCGTACACCAAGTCACACACACGTAGAGCACTCAAGGCAGTGTGGCCTTCCTGCTCCTACCCGGACACAGCAGGTGACGGGGAAGAGCAGCAGCAAACCCAGCCCGGTGGGAAGGGGCGGGGGAGGAGAACATCAAAGGCATCCGTTCCTGCGTATCACAGGCCTGAAGTGACGTGCGTGAGCTAGGCCCTCCTACCACCCACGCTCCTATCCGCTATAAAATTGATATGCCAGTATGTCTCCTGATCAGTACCAACTTTTCTTTTTTAACCATTTCTACCCATTTTCTGCTCAGCCCCTCCCAGAGCACGGGGATGATTACACCACCTTGCATATCCCTGCAGAGGTTTGACCTGCAGGGGCTCAAGGAGCAGCTTCGTGCACTTCTTGCATGCGAAAGCTTTCAGGGGAAACTGGCTGG